TACAACTTTCTAATTAAATAATATTATAAAAAAATTGATGAAACGACATATTTAGTATTCTTTAATTAAAATTATAATTAAATTATATGTATAATCTTGCAGTATCATTGAAGGGCAAAGGAAATATTTAAACGATTCATTGAGGCACGTTGCATAACATAATGCATTGTGTGAATGGTCATTTACAATACTAATTTCTCTAAGGAAAGAAGGTGCTATTGATTATAGATTAATGAAATTGCGTAAAAATAGAACTGATTATACATCTAATATTATATAAACAAACATATAAACTGATTTGAATTCATGTTGTTGTATAAAAAGGAAAAACTCATGGCAATTAAGAAATATCTACATATGCACTGTATATGAATTTTTAGATGATTTGTTTATTAATTAAATTCATTATTTATTTTAGCATTAGTTAACTACGTTTTTCTGTTTAACAGTTCATTATTAATACATACATGCAACTGCAAATACAAATATTCTCAAATACAAGTTGATAAATTTGAATTTCCATCCTCTATGTGTCGTGCACAATTTTGTTCATTGTTTAGTTCGGTCATTCGGAGAGGACACGCGTATTACGTCGAAGTTAGACTTACAATTTAGATATGTCATTACACACGCGTATTCATTCTGTCTTTTTTTTTAAAAGCAACAAGAAGGACGCATATTCTAGAATGCCAAATGACGACAATAAATGAGGAAATTTGCTAATACGTACTTGCGAAAACTGTTCGCCGACATTAATTCTGTACTGCTTAAAATTCAAAGCTATTATGCATGCAGTGTGATCATACTCTAAAAGATCCCCGTCTATTGCGTGAATGTGTGTGTAAGGAAATGTGTACTAGTGGAAAGATTTTGGAACGGAGGTCGGAGTACTTTACAGTTCAAATTGATACGTCGTTGAATTCACATCAGGTACGGTCTGCTATCGAAGTAATAGATAGATAATAAAACAGAGGTAAAAGAGATTATAATATACTTTTTTTATTCTATTTATAATACAAATTATATTTTTAAGATAGAGGGTAGGAACCTTCACGAATTTTTTTACAAAAATTGCAATAACACTTGAACTTATTATTTGATTTCTTCAGATTCCTCTCGTGTAAATACTGCGTAGAAAATCCTTATTGATTTTGTACTGTAAGTAAAAGAGACTTCGAAACTTAATCATCAGATTTTTATATAACGCATAATTTAGATTGCATCGCCAATTTTATGCTAGAAGACCGAGAAACGTGGAATTTATCTATTCTTGTAAACATAATATTTATTAACGAAATATGATCGAATTTATTTGTTTTTGCCGAATATTTATGAATGTATAACTCTTTTATTACATGTATCTTAAAATACCTCATTGCGTAATGATATAATTTATACAAAACTGTGTTCGTTATGCGAATTAAACAGGTCAAGCACGAAAATGTCATCAGATTATGTGAATGATTTATTGGATTTTTCCGAAGCACCGTCCTTAAGTGAAAAGAGTGAAATAATAGCATTTTTTAACAATGCTACAGTTCTGGTAACAGGCGGAACCGGTTTTCTCGGAAAATTACTCATCGAAAAGTTACTGAGGTAATTCATTTGAGTTTTATTAAAACTAAGATAATTCTTTGTATTTTTACACCCTCGCTTGGTGTCTGTTACAAAACACGTATTCAAATGGACAGTAATGAAAGTGATTACTTGAATGATTTAAACTAACGGTTAACATAAATAAGAATAAATTAAGAACTTGTTGATCTGTCTTTTTGATTGTAGAAACTGTTTGATTTTTACAAAACAAGTTATTAGTGTTGCGATTATTGAAGGCCTCTAAATAGACTAATTTTACATCTACGTCATCGCAGAGAATATTGCAATCGAAAAGTTAAATTAATAACGATATGTATTACAAGTTTACTTCGTTTTAACGAATCAAATTGATTCTTTTTCAACGCGTCATACTGTTTCTTAGTTGCGATACATTATTAATTTTACACTCGCAAACGGGTTCAAAGGTACATCCGGTCTTAGAGAACAATGGCCAGGTCTTGAAATATTTGTGTATCGTCATCAACGACTTACTTAAATGTAAGAGTGAACGAATAGAGAATTAATATAGAAAACAAAAAAATAAAAAACTGAATTTAATCAAATGTTCTAAAATCAATTGACATACACGTGTTCCATTACGAGTCAATATTTTATAATCTTTCTAATAATTTTAACGCGATACACATTATTTCATGTACATGTCTACATCTATTTTATCTAAATTAAATATAAACATTTAACACATTAGACGCGTAAGCCCTGCATTTTTTATTTTAAACTTTACTCTGTACGTGGTTGATTGCAGAAGTTGCCCGGGTATTACGAAATTGTACATGATAGTCAGACCGAAAAAGGGCAAAACAGCTGAAGAACGATTTAAAGAAAACTTTTCTGAGATTGTAAGAAAGATAAGAGATACAGCTAAGAGTTATGAAATCTTAAGTTTAATCTAAAGTTATAAATGTAAGACATTAATTATATTTCGGTAGATATACGACCCGTTGAAAAAGGAACAACCGAATTTTCTAAACAAGATAGTAATGTTGGAGGGTGATGCTAGCAAAGAAAATTATGGATTATCAGAAGAAGATAAGAGCCTTGTGATGACTGCAAATGTTATTTTTCATGCAGCTGCGGTAGTACGATTTGACGAGAAAATTCGTACAGTTACAAACACCAATGTTAGAAGTACAAAATTCATATTAAAGTTGGCGAAGGAAATGCCAAATCTTAAGGTACGTAGAATATTCTTCCTTGAACACGCCGATAATTAATGATAATAATTATAAACAATTCTGTTAATAGGCATTTGTCTACGTATCGACCGCATTTTCTCAGTGCACAGAGAAAGTAATTAATGAGATTCATTATAAAAATATCATGGACGCAGATAAGGTCCTGGCATTAGTGGATATTATAGACGATGATAAGAAACTTGAACAAATTACCCCTACGTAAGTACACATATTTTAATGTAATTAATATTTTATATTGTAAATATTCAATTCTTTCTATAAGAATGATTCTAATGAAATGTAAAATGATTAACAGATTGATTGATAAATGGCCCAATACTTACGTGTATACTAAAGCATTAGCAGAAAATATGATTTTAAAACACAGTGAAGATCTTCCCGTATGTATTGTACGACCTAGTATTGTTATATCTACTTATAAAGAACCAATAGCCGCATGGACAAATAACTTGTATGGAGCTACAGGTGTAGTTATAGGAAGTGGTGTTGGTTTATTACGCACGTTACACTGTTACCCAGACAACATATCAGAAATTGTCCCAGCAGATTATGTGATTGCCAACATTATTGCTGCTGCTTGGGACACAGCCAAAAGGTACACATATTTTCATGAATAAAGCTTGCATTGAAATATGAAAACAGGAAACATTGGATGCTAACAAGAATTTTTTGTGTACAGGAAGGCTTCACTGACCCCAGCTGAATTTTCTAATTTAAAAGATGAAGAGAAGATACCAATTTATAATTATGTATCATCTTGTCAAAACCCCATACATTGGGGGCTTTTTATGAAACTAAATTCAACGATTGGAGTCACGGTACCTCCTATAAATGCTATATGGTATTACATGTTGATACTTAATAAATATTTATTTGTGCACAACGTTAGTGCTTTCTTTCTCCATACAATACCAGCAATAATTATGGATGGACTGGCTTACCTTACGGGCAGAAAACCCATGTACGTATTATATAAAAAACGAGCTGCACGCAATTAATCCTCAACTGTGTAAAGGTGGGTCATTCATGTCTGACCAAAACACTACACGTCACAAATATTATATGAAAAATTTGTTTTTTTTCATGAAGCATTTCGAACTTTCTACAAAGTAAAATATTGAATAGTGCAATATACATTTTTTCTATAATTCTAAAATACGAATAAACAACTTTTACGCAATTAAGATGCTCAAAACCGTTTAGACAGTATGGATTAATAATTTATAATATTTATTAGAAAACAAGAGTAACAAATGGTACGTTATTTTTTATAATTTTTTAATAGATTATTATCTTCAATATGTTCACAGGTTACTGGATGCATATAGAAAGATACATAAATTTAGTCATGTGATAAGCTTTTTTTGTACAAATCAATGGAGTTTCCGGGATAATAATGTTGTCAAGCTATGGGAAAGAATGAATCCTGCTGATCAAGAAATATTTCACTTTAATATAAAAGCATTAGATTGGGAGGATTACTTTCTCGTACATATAAAAGGTCTGCGCGTATACATGTTGAAAGATCCCATGGATACTTTAGAGCCTGCACGCGCCAAGTATAAAAAGTATGTTTCTCTTTTCACGCAGTAGTCAAATTTCCAATATTCCATTTTACATCGCCATTAATTACAAAAACGAATTGTTTTTATGTTATAGACTAAAAATCGCCCACTACACGATTCTAATACTAGGTTCCCTATTACTTTTATGGACTGTGGGACAATTTCTATGCTACCTGTGGTCTTTTTTTTAAATTCACTGTTGCTTATACTGCACTGTTTAGGTACTTATTGCCATTTTGTCTATTTTATTCAGTGCCGCATATCTATAATGCAGTATATTTTTATCTTATTTTACCAAACGAGGGTGTTCAGGCATTTACTATTAACCCTTTCACTGCGGCGCGATTTTGGAATAATCCATCAGTATGGACGGCGCGTTATACGCACGTCGGACGCTGCAATGGCGTATAATTTACGTCTCTTGTATATACTGATAGGCTTCTAAGGACGTATATTTACGTCTTTCGTATATATCGATGGACTTTTCAGGACGTATACTTTCGTAGTGAAAGGGTTAATCATTGTTTTTCTTAGTTTCTTTACTACTAATCATTATTTTTCTTAATTCGTTTTCAATTTAAGATAGAGTCCGAACCACCATAATACTGAAATTGCAGTAAGGATATAAAAATTACTTTTTAGAGATATAGACCTCAGAGTCTTATGCAGGAATCGAACCCAGGATCTGTGAAGGATATGAGCCCGACGGATCAGAGCCGTCACGACTCCCAAGTAGTGCCGTATGCCTACTTTCATTCGTATCTTTTCATTCCTGTTTCGTTATAGCGATAGTAGATGCCGCCACAGATCTATATGATCTGCTCTTTTAATACCCGAACACCCTTCGCAATACCCTTCACTTTGTGAGAAATAAAGAATTTTTGGAATTTGGAATTATTTTAATACAAGGACACTCGTAGTGGAGCATTGAATAAACATTGCACCTACTATCTCCTTTAATAGAATATACTTATAAACTTTATGTTAGTTTCATTAAGCATAGATTACAATTGAATAGTTTATTCTGTTTGAAATTGAGTTAAAAAGTTGTTTACCTACCATACGAAGTTTAATTAAGAAATTAAAGAATGAAGAAGTAAAAGAAAACAGGAAAAAGTTAATGTTTCGATCTTAATTCTTCTCAATCATGAATGAAGTTTATGCGTGGGTGTCTCTTCACGATTTACGACAGGTGTGACTATAATAGTGTTTCTTACAATTGAGCAAATTATATACAAATTAATTGATTTATTGCATTGTGAGAAGTTCGACATTCTACTTCATTTATTTCATATTTAATTCTAAGTTCCTTAGAAGACAATTAAAAGAAGTTTATGTCCGAATATATTTTTTATACATTGATTTACTGGTCAATAAACGTTACATTTTTAAAAATAAATAATTAAAGATGACTAATAACATTAGGACGATTAATTCATTGCAAAATAATAGGCAATTATCATTATAATACTCAATATTAGCTATATTAAATTAACAGTGTATAAAACTAATTCTATTAAGATGAGATAGGAATGTATAAAATAACTGCCGAGTCCTTCATCATACGTACACTTTTTTTCTTTTTTATTGCTATCTCTAGACTATTCGAACTACGATTGTAAAGTACATACTAATCATGATTTTAAAATATAAGTACAAGTTATTATTTGTACTGTGTGAGGTGATGTTAATCAAATGATAAATCACTATAATACTAAATCTTTTATAGTTCATAAGAGAATTATGTGTAAATGTAATAAAAAAACTTTGGTGATCAAATTAGATAAGAAGTTTATGTCCGAATATATTTTTTATACATTGATTTACTGGTCAATAAACGTTACATTTTTAAAAATAAATAATTAAAGATGACTAATAACATTAGGACGATTAATTCATTGCAAAATAATAGGCAATTATCATTATAATACTCAATATTAGCTATATTAAATAAACAATGTATAAAACTAATTCTATTAAGATGAGATAGGAATGTATAAAATAACTGCCGAGTCCTTCATCATACGTACACTTTTTTTCTTTTTTATTGCTATCTCTAGACTATTCGAACTACGATTGTAAAGTACATACTAATCATGATTTTAAAATATAAGTACAAGTTATTATTTGTACTGTGTGAGGTGATGTTAATCAAATGATAAATCACTATAATACTAAATCTTTTATAGTTCATAAGAGAATTATGTGTAAATGTAATAAAAAAACTTTGGTGATCAAATTAGAGTTTCTATTTCCTTGTATAACACAAATAGGTGAAGTAACGATAGAGATAGGGCTAAAAGGGGCAAACGGGAAGAAGTAGCGGGTAAAATCGGCCGGTACCGCCGCGCCGTGTACGCTCGAATGTTGGACTGTAGTGCAATACGGGGATGGAGGCCGCGTGAGTGAGTCGAGCGACGAGCGAACAGAGTCGAGGATCGAGAACCAACCGGCGACTCAGGAAGGCAGTGCACGCCCGACTGCCGACACGAGCGGATGGCGTACGTTACCGCTTACGCCACGATTACCTCGTGATTTTCCTTCCTGTCAGACACGGTCACCGTCGTCGATCTTGTGACGAGTCACACATCATTTCCAACTACCTATACCGCGACTTGCAGCACGCGGTCGTCAGGTTCTTTTAGTGACGTCGCGTGTCGCGCTCAGATATCCGCGAGATAAGAGAAACGAAAAGAGGAGCAAGCGAGGCAACGAAAGACAATAAACAAAACGGAGAAGGCGAGAGGTAGTCGGTTTTTCTTTCGGCCTTAGTACATCGGTTTTCGTCGTCGTCCTTCGTGTTTTGTTGTCATCCACAGACAGATATACCGCCGCCGCGCACGTTCAACCTCCGACCACGTGTGTGCGCACGCACGCAGCCAGACGGGCAGACACAAAATCCAGCGACGCACGCACACTCCAAAAGTCGTATGTGCGCGTGCAACCCTATCGGAGCCCGCTGATGTTGGTTACCATAGTAGCGCGCGTGCCGATCAGCTGATCGTTGGGAACGGAGCGTGTTCGACCGTCGGCAGTCGGCCAGCAGCGGCTCCGTCCACTCGTCGTTCCGTGCGTTCTCTCTCCGTATGCGTTCGCGCAGTCTTGCACGCGACGTTTTCGCGACGCGATTTGGTGACAAATACGTAAACGAATTGCTTCGGTAAACCATCCGGGGACGCGGAGTCCGAAGGGCAACACGGAGTTAAAGGAAGCTTAAGTAGATCGTACTCACGGCTTAGATTGTCCCATTCGACGTTGTCGATGTACGAACGATGCGTAGACATCGATGCATCGTCGATGTAATTAATCCATTAGACGTTCAGAATCGGAACGTTCAAGTGAAGCATGATTTTCGCAGGAGATAAGTCGGTGCTGCTTGCGTAATCTCGTGGTATGTTGGTGATGCGGAAAAATCATGTTTTCGTCGACGAAAGTATCGGCCGATCTGGAATAATATCGCTGAACGTACTAATTACCGATTCACGTCATGTATTTTAAGTTCAACCGTCCAGAAATGAAATTCAACGAAGAAGTGGCCGGCGACAATATATTCGAATATTAATTACCATGCGTCCTTCAAAGTATCGAAATTCTTCCGTCGTCGGACGTTCTCAAGCTGCATTCGTGACCGTACACAAGACAAACTGTACCTTGGATACCACGTATTTCTAAATCACTGGGTTAAATTTCTTTGACAAATAGTATAAAATGCGTCGCGACCGTGAAGACGCCGCAGTGAACGCAACCATTATTTTTGTTATTGTCGCCAAGTGACTGCGTGTTCTACGTGAGTGGTTTATAGTACGTGCGACAAAGTGAACAAAACAAATCGACGTAAGGACGGTTATTCATCGGGATACGTACCATCTCGGGTCACCTCATGGACGGCACAAGTCTCATCACTCGATGTCACCGGTTAATTTAGTAACGAAACGAAATTCGACTAGTGTAAACTGGCATTGTGTCGCGGCATACGTTAAAATGAGACGCAACCGTGCGGAATCTACCGACTGATCTGAACGCCGTCAAAAGATATATCGACACGTAATTCGAGTTTCGAGACTTCAGTGGATGATGAGCGGAGAATGTTTACGCGTACGAAACGAAGCAAGGAACAGATCGGAGTCGTTAATAACAGGTGCGGTGAGTGATAGTTCTCGTTCAAACGATATTTTAACCTGTTCGCGAGCAGAAGGAATCGTAGAATGAAAATGATTCTCTGTATGAGAATGTTGTGACAATCGTTGTACCTGTGGCGGACCATTTGATAGCAATAATCGAACTTTGTGAGTACGAAACTCAGTTTCCCGGACTTTCGTAAAAAGTGATCTTTCATATCATTTTATTGTACGGATCTACGCCGCTGCTTCTATGTTCGTGTCGACGACGGGCAGTTGGAGCTGTTTTCTTACTCGCATGAAAACCCTGTGATAGCCGATGCCAGTAACGCCATTACTTTGGAATTAAATCGAGTGCGAGGAGAAGGTGGATCCAAAAATCGTCTTGATCGAGAATGATTGGTGAGTACAAAGCACATCTATTTATATTTATTCCGAAGAGAAAGAAGAAAATTGAATTTCATCATTGGATGTGTCGATTTATTTATGACTGAAATCGTATTGAATGATATTTTTCTCGTCAAGTTTATTACGGTATGAAATTACGCAATCGTTCTAAATATAGAAGAGCACAAAACAAAGATCGTAACAAAAACTAACAATATCAGTCGCGTGAAGTAATAGTAATTTTTAACATTTGGAAGCATTAGTAAGTACGTCGAGCAGAATATAGACTCGAGTCAGTTGTCGAGTCGACGAACCTCTATCGATCTTTACCTCCTGTCTACGTCTGTCCTCCCCCGCTCTGTGTCACAAAGGAATGCAAACCGCGTTGTATTTCTGGCGTGGTTATTTCTTCAGTTTTTCGAATCGTAGTTATAACTCTCGCGTGTCATAAAACAGCGCAAAACTGGTTGATTAACTTTCGATTGAGTGAATTTAATGATCAGTATATGCATGATCACTTGCATGAATATTTACGCTGCACGTGAACTCTTGTTTATTTATAGTAACGTTATATCGTTAACACAATTTTGCATCCATTAATTAATTTTACTGAAATTATTTTATCTTGATTTACAAAAATGAAATTATTATATCATCATGGAAACGTATGAGTAAGCGAATATTTACTATCTGTAGAAAAATATGTAACTGGGCGTAGTAAATGGTAAATAGTACCCGCATAACAGAGGTGCACATTTGATGATAAGCCCTCGATAATAACCGACAATGTTCGCGATACTTACTAAATGTTGTTGGTAGCTTTTACTACCACGTTTTATCGGTTTCGTTTCTACTGTTTCTAAGGAAAGAAAGAAGAACTACTAGTGACATTGTTTGCGTGGTATCACGCGTGTATTTAGTATTTAAATTGTAAAATTAAAAGAAGAACGCAATTAGAGACGAGTGACGTCGGCAATTGTGTGAAATTCCATGTAACTCATTATCAGTTCTTCATTGAACTTGGAATGAAAAACTGGAATCGTCTTGAACGAATGAAAATCTCCTTATACCAACCAGCGTTCATGAATTCGTAATCGTGAATGCCAAGATGCATGGAAAAACAACCGGGAAAAAAATTCAATGTTGCACCTGATCTTACAAAACGTACTTACGCGCTCTTACAAAACCGTATTAGATGCGTGACTTACTGATTAACTAAATTCTTACAAACTAGTTCTGAAATTTATGCGATCCTCGAGAGTGTACAACCTAAAGAGGATTCTCTGTTTTGTCACTCGCCCCTCCTGGGATCTACCGCCTCGAAGTGCAATAAACTGAAACCGTGACTTGGGCTTTTAGCACCCCAGACTGACGACGATAAACGGAATTTTGATTTAATTGTCTAAATGTTCGACCGACTGTTGACTTTTCGCGTGGTTTTCATTGTACGTAGTTATCGATAAACACTTCCTCTATAGATATTTATACTACTGCAACGTGAAGATAAGATTGACAATCGTCTCCGATTTTTATCATTAGCTTCACACACAAGAGAAGCATTAAGATATCTGTTAAGAGGTACAATGAGCTGGGCTAATGATCAATGTTCGTGAAAGTGTACTAGCCAAGCAAGAAAACATTTATAACGTGCAAACTTCCGTGACTGTTCCGTTGCAATTGAAAATAAATGCCGTCGCGACGGTGGTCCAAGAAACGTACAAGTGTATATACGTAGTGGTAGATGGTACAATATACTCGACGTACTTGCAAGGGACGGCTAGGCGCATCTTAATTTGCGGTCACACGTTCCTAATTTCGTTTACTGACGGTTCTGCACCCAACGAATAACGCTCTGTCGCAGCCGTACAAACATTAGAGGGACCATTACAATGGTACGAGGTAAGAGGCAAGGAGGATGGTTATTAGTTGCTCGTGGTTATTTCATTTGCGGCTCATGGACCACGGTACGAGTTTGTGTAATTGTCAGGTTTACGAGCGGGCTCGCCGTTAAGGCTTGCGACAAAGTTTCGTTGAAGCGTATCCAGAAAGTTATAGTCTATGAAAAAGTACTGTTAATCATGCCAGTCTTTAAACGTGAGGCATATTTCTTGAAAAATACATTTACTGTGTATCAACGATTTATTAATGTCCAAGAATTTAAAGCGAACTTGTGAAAATATTATAGCCACGAGTCATCTCCACTAATTTTTGAAAATGTTCACTCCACGCGAGACTCTAGTTTTATCTATATGTATATGTTCTTCTTGTCTCTCTATTGTTGTCCCGCTCGCACAGTTTACCTAGGCTATGCGCTTCTGAGTGATTCTTGGAAATCCACCTCTCGGTTCACCACTGATCAAGACCGAGACCATATGTTTCTGAATATTCTGGAAACAAATCTTATTGTTTCCTTCCTTGTGTACTTGTATATATGTTAAGAGAAGCATAAAATATAGTTTCTGAAATCTAAAAAAACAAATGTAGCATGAGTCTAGTAAACGCGAATGTATATTTCTTTTTTTTCATATTTGTTAGATCTAGTAAATATACTTTCAGCGTGTCGATTCGAATTTTAATGTAATTATTTTTTTTATTTGTTAAAAAATCGAAGGATGAGTGGCAGAAGTCCGAAATGAAAGATCTGACTGACGTCAAATCCATGTTGAACAAACTGTGAATTAGGTAAATATATGCTCGAGACTTTCCAACATTGATTTCCATTTCAGAATCATCGCGTATACCAGAACACGATTAACTGTTCTTTCGACTAGCCTCCTATCTTGTCGGTTGTCAGATTGTTGACACAGCTAGTGACACGTTTAATAGGATTATTTATGCTCCTAAAGGCGCTTAAATGGTCCCATGTCCGTATCGGCTTCATCTACCTGACGGCGCGTAGCATAATTATGTCGACACGGTTTGTATATCGGCGCTCGGCGAGCTAAGTGACAACGCCTAGTCGTCCCTGATTTTGTCTTCGCTCGACTTCCGACGTACAGCGAGACGTTTTAATCGCCTACGAACGCGCGGTCACGGTAACACGTGCTGCATAACTCGTTCCGATGATTATTGACATGTTTATCTCGCGCCACTGAGCATGGGCGAACGCGCGGTAATTAAATGAAAGAAACGTACACTGTTTTTCGTCGTCGAACGTCAAATCAATTTTCTACTTTCATACTTGTTTCACATTATTCTATAAGTACATGTTATCACTGTTTACTCAGATCAATCGTGCGTCTTACTGAGCAGATCTCGTTCTGTGAAATACGTAGATCACTCTGTTGCTCGTCTGCTGGCCAAGCGATGATTTTTAACGAGTCTGTTATTTACACGCGTCCTTCGTTAATTTTTAACGCTGTTATATACAACATTTATGTCTTAATATGTTGCGTGAACCAGTTGAGCATAGAGTTGAGAAAGCCACCCGCTCTTGGCTAATAATTAATTTGTACGCGTATGAATATTCCTTCGCTTATGCGTGCCTAAACAATATTCGCCTGTACATTTCGTGTGGCTAATTGTTGAAATCTAATTTATCTTGTACGATGATGGTCGATTTATACGCGATCCGTTAATGCCTGTGTGTACGTGTGTGGCGCAGGAAATTTGCGGTTTTGAGACGGGGCTGGATTCAGTCGGATAATGACCTGCTAGCACTCGTAACGTTAATTACACTCGTTTCAGCCTTTTGCACAGAACATCAGTGTGCTCTGGGCCCCGGCTTGAATGCCTTTAAACGCCAACGCAAGGCGCGAAACAACCGTGTACGTACGATCCTTTTCACGATCACTTTAATGGCACATAAAAAATTTATGCACCCATTAATCCCTGGTTACCTTGACAATAAGCAGTTGCAATTTTACTTAGCCGTTCGCCCAAGTATTATTTCAAATAGTCGAAATAACAGTAAATAGTGATGAGGTCGTTCGGTTCGTATCTATGAATGACTGGATCATAGATTCTCTAAAAAATTGTTCAAAATGCTTCATTTCCGTAAATCGTTAATTGCAAGGTTTATACCGCGTTCCCTTCGCCCGTAATTGTACCGAGCTGCATCAGGGTGTTAAATCGTGCATAACTTAACGGCGCATTTAATAACACGTTCCCACTCGTTTCCTAACTGTATTAAAAAAAGAGTCGGTTTCCCTCGTGTACAAGAAGCGCAGCAGCGCGCGTCAGTTAATTGGCTTTGACACTTTATCGTCGTAAAACGTGATAAAATCTCGCGCGGGCCGTGAGGAAAAAAAAAAATTCGAAAATTTTGTCGGAGCTTCGATACGACCGACGAGCTTATAAATACTTTTTTTCGACTCGTCGATCGGTGAAATGCACCGGCGAGTCTTTTCACGGGATGACGAGCATGCCGGAGATTGAAAAACCGAGAACCGGTGCTAGCGATGTAACGCGAATATAAGCATGGATCACAGGCGACAACCGCTCATTAGCATACAATGCGGGCTAATGGGATCGCACGCTGATGGCTACCGTTCAATACCGCGTCCTCACGTACCTTCGGTTACCTTTTCCAAAAGTGAGAGCTGCACACGGTGTCAAAATTGTTATACAAATTCAATATAATTTTCTTTTTAGTTACCAATTGTAAAATCAATTCTTTTATTGCAACGTTCATTTAATTTGTTTCATCGTCAGATGCTAGTGAAT